GGTTTGAAACTTAACTATGCCTTTAATAATATGTTGGGGCAGTTCTTCCTTTACCACATTAATGTCTGGTGGACATTTCTTGGTAAGACTCAAAATTTAATGTGCATTTTTGGCCTGCATTCCTTTCATAAGGAGAAAAGCAGATTTGTGAGATTACCATGTTGACTTACTGACCCCAATTTTGAAGTCTTCCAGGTCCACCAAAACCATGTTCCTTTTAATTCATTATAATCAGCAACAAGAACATAGCACATGCATGAACTTGTGAGTATGAATGTCACTAGCACTACTTAAATGATGTACAGTAATAGATCTTTGAAAATTGTGTGATTTTGATAATACAAGACTTGTAGATTGTAAAGAACATCAGGCATGCAAATAATTTCATTTAGGTGTTACTCTGACAGTGAATACTGATGGACAATTGAGGCCAGGAACATGACATTTTATAGATATAAATTCTGTGAAACATTGTTTATAAGACAGTGATTTTAAATTTGGTAAGTATGTGTGAGGTTATGTTTAACAAATTAATGAAGACAATCTGTGCTTAAGTGAGAAGTTCGTCCAAATAGTAAAAGCAATAACATTCTGTAACTTAGTTACAAATGGAGATAGTAAAATATTTCATATTTATGTAAGTTTGACTTTCTTTACCAAGTTAAAAAAATATGAGCCTACTTGTCTACAGTCTCTTATCACTTGTCTGTGATAAGTGGAAGAGCATATTTTTGGATGTGCGCCTATAATTTTGTTCATCATTTAGGGCGAGACACAGTATTTCTTACCCACATAAATAATTTAAAACAATGTGATTAATGTAACGTTTTGTACTTAATATTCTCTTATTACCAATTTTATTTATTGTTCTCAGTGGTTGCCAAACCAGTACTAGAGGTAGCATTCCACATATTTCTTTGCCTTGGCCGTCTTGGACTCACATTCCAAGCATCTATCCTTGTAGATCTTCTGGAGTTGGTCAGCTTCCACATCTACTGTATCTACGTGTACGCTGCAAGGTTTGTCAAGCATCTCAGCTTCAACAGATGAAGTAATGGAACTATTCAGTAATATTTTGTCATGCTGGACAAATTATAAGAAATGTATACTTAATATTTTGCTCATACAAACTGATTATTTCATGAAGATATCATTTATGAAGCAAGTATTTTTCTACTGTCTTCCGCTGTGGACTTTAATGAAAATAAACTGTGCCCTGGCATTACTGTTTAGACAGAATTGTCACAATGTAATAAAAAAGCTTGGGATTTTTTGTACAAACTAGGTTTTGGCATTTTGTTTCCAGAAAAGTGTACCTAAATTAAATCACATTGCTGGTTTTGATAGTTTGTGGCATTATGAAGCTCATGATTAGTTGTTTTGAACTTGTATAAGAAGACCCTTTAAATTCGGTGGGCCTCTTTCCTACCTTCTTTTATTTGTCCCTCTGCCCATTTCTTCCCTCCCTTTACCCACAATTTTACCTGTTTCATGTAAGTAGGAAAAGTGAAATGTCAAATTAAGGGAGTAACATAAATTGAGGATGTTTGAGAGCAGGGTGCAAAGGGGAGTAATTTGGACTAAGCTGAAAGAAGTAACTGACGGCTGCGAAAGACTGCCTAATGAGGATCTTCATGATTATTAATTTTTACCAAATGTTATTAGCATAATGAAATCAGAAGAGCTAGACACATATGGGAGTAGAATTTTTAGTAGTATGCATAGGGTCTATTGGTAGGCTGTTGTGAACACTGGGGTTTTAGAAATGTGGGGAATTTGAGTGACTCTGTTTAATGGAATTAGTGTATTTATCACTATTTGCAAATGTACCTGAATGTGCAACTCTGCTGACTAAAATAAGTACTTGATTTCTTTACTTAAAAACTGTCTTAATTTCAGGTTGTATAGTTTGCAAGTATCAGGGTTGGTAGCCCTGTGGCGGCTGTTCTTGGGAAGGAAACATAACCCGCTGCGAGGACGTGTTGATTCATGCCAATACTCATCGCACCAGCTCTTTGTGGGAACCCTTGCATTCACCATATTACTCTTTTTGCTCCCAACAACACTTATGTATTACATTGTGTTCACCACGGTGTGTATTACTTGTCTAGCCCAGCAAAAGTTTCAGTTTTTGCATTGCTTTATAATGTATGTGTTACTTTAATAAATTAAATGAGCTTAAGACTTCTTTAAAGTATGAAACTGGATGAGCATGAGTTGGAAATGTGAATGTTTTTGGCACATTTCTGTGTGCAGCTCCGTCTGGTAGTGGTTGGTCTTGAAGGCCTCCTGACACGTGTACGCTACATCCTGCAGTGCCTTCCCCTGTATGTCAGCACACTCTGGCTTCTACAGTCCACAATTGTTAGCAGTAAGTCTCAAGTGAATGGCAGTTTTAGTACAGCTTGTCTGTTTTGTAAAACACTTCACCAATAAGTGGCAGGTTATGTAACAGTACAGTTTCCACTGTAGATGATGAGTGACCTGTTTAGAAATTATTTTAATATCAGCAGAGAGACATTTAACAAGATGGACAGCAGGTTATACTTTTTTTCATACAAAATAATTGAAATAATGGTCTACACATTTCAGGAGTAACAGATTTTGGATGTCAGTATAGAAGAAACCAGATAGAAAATGTATAACTTCAGTTTTAAGATACGGAAAGTTGAAGATGTTCAAATGTTTCAGCAAACAATGGAGTTGCCATCTTCAAGTGAATGTCTGTGGCAGGGTAACAGAACATTTGTAAAATCTGGCAGTGGAAGTTTGGTGCCATGAATGAGCAAGCAGAAGAGCATGCTAATATCCAATGAGGAGCGACTATGTGGTTCAGGAAAAGAAGTGAAAGTGGAAGGCATTTTTGAAGGATATAGTATAGAAGAACTGGAAGAGGAAAGACAGAACTGGGCTTGCAAAGACATTTTTCATGTTCATGGTTGATGTTCAATAGCGAAGGTGGTTAAGTGGAAAGCAAATGCAATGTTTCTTGAAAACACTGGAACATCTTAACATACTGTGTCACTTATCCTCAAAAGCTGAAGTTATACATTAAATTATAACTGCAAAAACCAAATGACATGGACGGGATATGTTGTAAGACTGATAACATGCAAATGCTCTTGCTTTTCCCCAGGTACAGTTCACTTGACAGTGCAGTGCAGAGAAACACAAGGTCCGCTGCTTCTGTCTGTCCAACCAGTACCTGGCTCCTGGTGGAATACTGTTCAGTACTGCATACCTGAACTAGTGCATTCCCCACCGAGGGTCAACTGGGGAAACCTCATAGGAAATCTGGTGTCAGGAAAGCTGATTTACCCGTCTTAATTCTACTGTAACAACTTGTTAATGAAACCTTGGAACAAACTTCTGCCTTTAATGTAATCATTTTCCAAGAAATTCTTTATCAGAATTTTGTACACATCCCTTGTTTTTGTTTTCCAGCTTATCATAATATTGTAATTCAGCTACACTAATAATACACAAGGAATAAATTAGTTTTTTTTAACTTTTACTGTACTATTTATTATACTGTATCATGATGCTAGTACATAAATTCATTCACACCTTTACTTTCAAGCTCATATGTACATAAAGAACCTGCAAGGCAATTTGACAGAATTTCATATAGTGTACTCAAAAGAAATAACTATAAATCCAGTTGTAAGCATACCCAAAATACTGGATCAAATAAGACGAGCAAATAAGTTTAGTTTCAAGTGATAAAGTATTATGGCACCCTTCATTTGTCAGATTCATGTCAAATTGTTTTATATAGCAACATTACCTTGAGAAACATTTACCTGAAATGCCTTAGAATGTAGAGGAATAACCTTTCAAAACCATTTTTCACCAAGTACTTTCATGTTTCTGTAGCACATGAAAAATACATCATTCTCTTACACTTTGACATTCACATTGCCTATATATTCTTCTCATTGGTTATTTCAAGAATATATTGTCTGATCAGATTACGATATACCATGTCTCTGCTGCATACTACATAATACAATTAGACAAACAGAAAATAAAGCAGTTCTAGCCAATTATAATGTTGTTGGTGAAAACTTTGAATTAGTATTTCAAAATGCATTATAAAGTTTTCTGAATGTACAGCTGTAATATTTAACTTTCCAATATGTACCATAACAAACAGGAACATGGGAAATTTCCAGTGTTACTGACAGCCTAATGAGTTGTGATATCAGAGAAACAAATACCCAAAAGCCGAGATCCGCATCACACCTCTGATAGTTAAATAACCTAAAATCACTTCTTTTATGTTTGAGATGAAAGTGGCCATTTTAATTTATTACATTCTACTGTAATTGTCATTGTTTCAAGACATACATACACACATGAAAGAAATCTCACACATCACCTAAAGAGACAGCAAAACTTTACAAAGAACTTTCTTGCCACAAATACCGAAAGTCAATATGATAGAAGGAAAACATTCTTTAAACCTAAAAGCTTCCATTATACAAATTACAAGCATACAAAAATAATAATCAGAAGTACCACATTTTCTGTAATATAAGGCACACTTTCCCTGGAAAATGCTTCCTAAAATCTGCATGCCTTGTAGTCTGAAGGTGTAGTAATTTTCCTCTAGACTTCTGCCTTTACAGCACGGTTGCATCTTGAATCATACGTACGTACAGTTACATACAAAAACTGAATCAATATATACTCAGAATCATGTTACATTATTTTATTACAAAATGCTTAAGGAATGAAGTGGGAGAAATATCTTCACCTTTATAGGTCTCAAGAGTTTAAATGTTTTGCACAACAAAGAATGAGACCAATCATCAGCTAAAAATCATGGAATTCACTTGACTGGGGAGAAATCATGAAAAGGTTCAGCCATGACATTTGATCCTCAGTAGATTTCAAGTCACAGGATATGCATGCCTACTCAGGGTGGCGGGGGAGGTCTGTGCAAGGGTGGTTTCTCTTTTCCTTCTTCCTTTTGTCATACTTTTTGCATCACTTCCTTAAACCCTCTACTTAGCTACCTTTGCAATGATCACCCGTACAGATGGATAAAGACTGAGCTATCCAGGTTTCAACTTTCCCCTTTCACTTCTTTTTTATCTTACTTGCTTTTGAGCCATCTTCATCATCTCCTCCTTTTATCCTCTTTCTTCAAAACCTCATGGTTACTCTCCACTTTGCAGTGCCTCGCTCCTCTGCTCACCTGATCATATCACTTAGCTCCCACTGCCAGATCTATAATACAAGGGTTCCCTTGCACTCCAAAAGACTTTCACCCTGGAGATAGAAACTGCAATGTTTGCCAAAACATTAGAACACTTTCAACACACAACACAGTAAATCTCAAAAAAGATGAGTTTATGCATTAAATTAATGAATATTACATTACATAAGACACTTTTCTAATAATTTATAATATATACTACTCATGGCATTCCAATATCCTACAAACTTCATGTACTTGGTTTGGAAATGCGTGTACAACATAGAATTTCTGTAAATTATATTAACAGTAATGTAGAAAATGGACAGTATTTGTCTATTGCATTATTCCCTTACTGGTTAGCATGTTAGATTACTCAAAGAAATATTTTGACCTATGGTTCAAATTAAAAATATATCTATATAAATAAAAACATCACATACGCAAACACAGAAGCATTTATTTTTTTGAGTTTCCAAATACTGAATTCCTACATTGAGTAGGCAGTTTAAAATAAATCACACTCTATATTCTGAAGTATTGCATGTTCTTCCATTTGAAGCAGATTATTCATTACATTCTAGCTATGTGAAAGCAGTGAAATGGGACATAACACATTCCAGTCTCAGCATGAGTGTGTAAAAATGAAGCTGCCTGCTCGATACTTTATGTGATATGAATTCGAAGAAACTAAAAGTTAAAAAGCCATAACTGGAGTTCACAGACAATTTCTGAAATGGTTGTCATTTTAAAATTACACATGATAAGCTAATTTTGTTTTCAAAATAAGTCTTAATTCTTATCACAGTGGTTCCAAGTAATGTACAGAAGAAACCTTAGGCTACATTTATGTTCAAAAAATAATATACAATAATGATCAGCTGTAATTCAGATACACATGAGTGAATGTTCTCTTTGAATCAATCTTCCCTTCTTTAGATTAAGAAAAAAATGTTCCAGAAGTCTCTAATATGAGAGAACGTTGCTGCATTGATTGTATGCAGGGGCGAATATTACGGAAGAGGCACCAAACACTAGCGTCTTGGAAAAAAACGGAACGTGGAACCCAACAACAAAGTTCTTTCTACGAACTCACTAACAGAGATCTAGACTAAATGTTTCCACCTGCTAGAGCTCAACAGCTTTAAACTCACCATACACAGTATTTTTTTTCTTTTTTAACATTTTCACTCACAAATACAAATTACACTTTTAATTTTAAAATTCAGCACTCTTTCTACAAAAAACATCACCCTCCAATAAACTAACAGAGAAATAATGCCTTGGTATGTAAACCAGACAAAGTTATTATTTTGTGACTTCTGTCTTAGTGTTTCTAAAGAAATCATAAAGCACATACATTATGCAACCTAACCTGTCTTTTACAAATATCAACTACCCATTACCAGGGTAGAGCAACAGTTCTTGTTCATGTCAGCAATAAGAAAGGCACTACTCCACATGACGACAAAGATGTGTTACTACTGCACCAGCTACGAAAAGCAATAGTGTGGTTAAAATATCCAGTGGTGTTGGGTGAGAAGATCTTGCAGTTAAGCCCGTAAAATGCCATGGATTGACGGGGACGATGTGCCACGGTTCAGTCGCCTTCCCCTACAAACATATTTATTAACTTTTGTGTATTTAATACATTTCTGTAGCATACTGATTCACAGACTGACAAGCCATTGAATGCATGTAAGACTTGAGGTTCTCACAGCGGTGAGTATGAAGATTTCTGTCTTCTGGGTTATTGCGCTGTGTAGTCTGGTCGATGTTAACCAACGTTTCAGAGGTCATACTGCCTCCGTCATCAGGGCGATCTGATGACGGAGGCAGTATGACCTCTGAAACGTTGGTTAACATCGACCAGACTACACAGCGCAATAACCCAGAAGACAGAAATCTCCATTGAATGCATGCTTGCCAAGATATACATGTATAAAAAGATGTGGGATTTTAGGTTTCTGACAGCAATGAAAATATGGATTGTGGTCTTATGTCATGTTGTATTGTAGGTAGTTACCAATGTTTCAGGGGACCTCATACCCTCGTGAGGTACCCTGAAAATGGAGAGGTGACACATTCTGCTGATCAGTATCTACAAGACTATGCAGCATCATAACCCAAAGATCAAACCCAAACACAATATATTCGTACCAAACAGAAAAGTACACTAATATAAATTTTGGTAGTGCTATTTGCTCCACATCAGACATAATTTTTATACCACCATTATTAAGTGGCACAGCATACACCATGCAGATAATATGTGAGACGTATAAGTGATCTGCATGTGATATACAAACTGCTATGAAGAACATTTCACATCTGGTTAAGGAAATTAAGGTACAGGTATGTGGTACATATTTAGATCCTTACAATACAGCTTACAGATTAAATATTTTATTGCTAGTTATTTATTATTGAAGTGGGCCCCTTGTTACCATCAAACGGTGTGTACTCAGGTTTCTGATAATTACGGAGAGTAACCTCAAATTGTTGCAGTCAATGAACAAGTAATGATCCTCGCAGCATTTTTTTTTTGGGGGGGGGGGGGAAGAACAGCCTCTCACCAAAAACAATGAATGTTATTTGTTATGGATACCATTCTGCGATTCAAATAAAAATTTTGTACAAACCTGGTTCATTATGTGTACTTAGCAGATAACATATATTTATCTACAAACCAACCAAATTTGTACCTTGCAGGGGTCAGAGATGAAGATGGCTGTCTAACTGGGTTGTAGCACAATGTAGTCTGGTAGAAGATTACCAGTGTTTCAGAGTTCCTTGCTGCCTCTACCACCAGGATGAGTCACTCATCACCCTGATGATGGAGGCAGCAAAGACCTCTTAAACACTGGTAATCTTCTACCAGACTACATTGTGCTACAATCCAGAAGACAGCCATCTTTATACTCACTGCCATGGAAACCTGAATCCTACTAAGGCAGAAAAGTTTGTGGACCTTCATATTCTGGCATTCTTGATATGTGTGTAGTACAATAATATATCAACACAGCTTATATTTACTCCCTGTATGTGCCTCGGGCAACTTTATTTATCATTTGCTTTATAAAATATACTTCTGCTCCTAAATTCCTATTCACATGATAAAAAGTTAAGTATTTCACAGAAAAACAAAATTATTCCAATTTGAATTTCATAATATGTTAAGAGCATGTGCTAGTCCTCAAACAAAATGACCTCAACAAATACTGTCATAAATTTCTCATCAGTAATAAAAGATGTTCCTAATGTCCATCACTGAAATTACCTTAACAATTGTTTCAACTCGCTTGTCAGTAGTTAAATGTAAAGACAGTGTCCATCAATTTCAACTACCTGAAAAAGGAAAAGAAATAAAATATGGTTCCAAAAATATGTCTCATTCAGGAAAAACAAATTAACTTAATTAAAAGTTTTAAAAATAAAAGTTCTGTACCTTCAACAATTTCTCTTCTTCAATTTTATTTTACTACAAAATAATTATAAGTTAAATAGTACTCTTTCAAGTCCATTAAAACATCTTAACATCTTTCATGGTCATGATTTGGCATAAAATATGTATTGTATTAGAAGGAACGTGGCTTGATACAGGCTTAAAGATGTTTGCAGTGTAGTCTTGTAGTTTGTTAGCAATGTTTCAGAGTAATATATCACCTTCATCTTGTGGGAAGAAATTCTACACTGAAGATGTTCGACTGAAACACTGGTAACTCTGTACAAGGCAACATGGCATCATGGTCCAGAATACCATGGTCCGCATTTTCATGTTTTCTTACAAAGTGACAGTAGTTCCCATTCAAAGTCATGGAAATACCATCATGCAATGTGAGGACACCAGAAGAGGAATAAGTAATCATAGGTACATGTCAGATGGAAGGCTGGAATTACACGTGGAATTAAGAGTTTTGAACCTTTGTTACAGACCCTGCACCACACACATCCTTTCTTAATGATTTGCAGGCTACATGGTTATCCATGACGATAATGTAGTGAAACTGCAGAATGCCACTATGTTAGACCTAACGTTGCAAGTTCAGTTTCGCAAGATCATTCATCAGTGAGATATCTGATGATGCTTTTTCTTGAGTAATCTCTCAATATCAGGTTTAGCAACTATTTTTTGCATTTCATGTGCAATATTACAAGTGTTCATCAGTAAGACATAGCCTAATTCTTGATTTGATGCTCTTCACTAAGCTATATCTACAGCTGTCTGTGGCTGTCAAATACTGACAACATTAATAAAATGACTTTCAGACAACTATTTTGATATCATATAATGCACCTATTATATACGCAAAACTTTGTGAGAATCTGTAGTACAATTTCGTCGTCGCCCTATGTGATCAGTCCACTGGTTTCAGAAGTATTTCATCAAACCCTAGACATTTTTGAAATGTTTCCTGCCTCACACAACAGTTTTTTTAATCTCAAAATGGGTAACACCACACAGTGACAAAAAAAAAGTATGCAGACTCCAGAAAATATATCAGTGGTTCGGCTATAACTGGAGGTCCTTGGGAGACTAGCTCTCTCTGAATACACTTTTGGGCAGGAATTTCTTCACAGTGACTCAGGGCAGTACTCACCTTCCTCAACACTGGCCATGCACTGAGAAGTTGGCCATACCTTCTTATAATGTTTGTTTTTACTAGCAAAGAATCCTATACCAAATACAAGTAGTAATACCTGTAGGTATCTCTGGTTGGAGTGTCACTGGACTGAAGACTTTCTCTCGATGCATTGCGACATGAAGCCAGTTTTGATTCCAATGCCTGCGTAGGAAGAAATGAACAACAAATATTTGAAATAATACCGAATATACTTCAATTCTGGAAGATCAGAATCAAGGAATATATGTGGATTAAGGAAACGTGTTGTTGTTGTTGTTTCTTGGCTCTACAACCCGGTTGTGTGTTTTTGCCGCCTCCTTTTCGGGGGTTTCTTGGTCTTGAAGAGTGCATTTATGAGTAGTGAGTGACCAGCCCATTGACTCTGCACAATTTCTACTCAATCCTGATTTGACTGCCAGAGCCATCTAGTAGTTAATCAGGAGACTTGGGTGAGAAATGGCAGCTGAATTTTGATTACGAAACATCTCATATCATGCTCGTAAAGTTCTTTTACATGCCGTAAATCTATGACATGGGGCCACCGGCTTTACTTCCCCTCCAAAGGAAGTTGTGCTACGGCCCTTGGGTCAAGCGGCGAGCATGCTCACCACTAGTCCACCGAGGGCGACGGATTAAGGAAACTAATCAAGACAAATTAAGTGAGTTAAAAGCATAAGAAGAAAAAGCTACAAGTACATAACATAAAAAGCAAAACAAAGAACATATTTTTAGACACAAACAGAGTCATAACTTCAAAACATCACTATTCATAACACATTAACATTAAACAGTACTTTACAAAGAACCCTGAACTTTCATGTATTAATTCAGTGTCAGCAGTTTTGTAATAGCAAGTATATTTCACTCATAAGTGCAGAATACGACAACTTTCTGATCACAGCCATTACATTCATAAACTCCCTAAGGATAGAAGGAAACTTGTAACATTTTCATTACACTTAATTACATCATAGTTATAATCCTGTAGTAACCCCATTACAGTTGCCACCATTAAATATTATTTGAGATTCAAATTCAGACATTCCAGCTGACTTCCTAACAGTCTTTTTCATGTTCTCTGAAATGGTGCCTCAGGTGGGAGGTAAAGGTGTCAGTAATTTCAGATGAAGTAAATCAAATATGGTTTCCATAAAAAGCAGGGAATTTCTTGATTAACTGAACTATTATCAGCATCTCAAGAAAGACTCTGCTCTATGGAGGAAGGCAGGTAGTTAGTTAATTAAACCAACACCTGATAGCAATTATAGTATGCGCACAGCAAAAATTTGAACCACATATAAAACGGACCTCTACGAGGTTGTGCCATCATTGGAGCGGGAATGACGGGGGAATGGGGGTTGCCACCCCCACAGGAGCACTTGACCTGTTTACATCCTGAGCACAGCAACCCCTCAAGCTGCCAAACCAAATAAAAATAAAATACACAACAAAACATCTACATCTACGTACAGCCAACAGAATAAAAGAAAAAGTTTTCACAAGACAGAGATTTACAAGTAACATGACAGTTCCCTTAAAGACAACAGTGGAAAACCAAAATACTCAGAGAGAAAAATATGCCTGTAAGTCCACCACAAATCCCAAATAAACTGTTCTGGAACTGAACTCAAGCCTCCTGGTGAAAAGAGGGTATGTGACTGCCTGAGCTACAGCATAATCTACGCAAAAAGTACCTAAATCAATTATCTTGGATTTTACGTACACAAGTACAGAAATCTCATGCAAATACAAGTATTAATTAAAGCTGAACAGGAGAAAGTGTGACTACTAAAATAAAAGAAACAAGTGTTGCACAAAAACACTCTACTTTCCAACAAGTGAACAAACAAAATACCATTTATACAATGAGTACATGCACAAACTACTTAAAGGCTCACTAACCCTTTGACTGTACATTTAAAATGCTAATGACTTGTATTGTTACCTTCCTCTATAATTTTTTCTAGGTATTTAAATCTGAAATGAGATTTTACTAAGAGGAGGCACGGCTGTTTCATTTCGCTACATTCTACTACATTAGGAGAAGCAAAGGGTCCACGTTCTAACAAAAATTCCACTCATAAAATCAACGCAACTGAGTGTTAACCTTAGGTGTGCTCTGTATCAAAATGCTGCCATTAAAATTCACATCCCTCAAGACACAGTCATCATTAGCAACTAACGCTACAGATTTTCAGGAACACACATTCTTGCAATTCTGAAGTGTTTCGGCAATAGCGTCTTATGTGCTACAAATGGATGCTTTAAATACAAACTTCTCAAGCCCAGTATCATTGAAAATAAAAATTCAAACTATTTTAATTTCATGTGTTCTAACTTGAATGTTTCTAAGCAACACACAAAGTATGTACGGTAATTTTAGCTTACAAATCAGCATGTCAGGAGTAAACACGTGGGTTTTATCGCCAACATAACACTTAGCTGATCTAAAAGTAAGGTAAGCTACTGTGACTGGTAAGTATAATCATACATGAACTAGGATATCATGTACTCCTGAATGTGCAAGACAAAGTACAAACATAACCCTACTTTTTTGTTTTCCTTCAATATTATAAGTACATCTAAGAGTATCTGTTTAAACATTTATTCATTCAATCCATATTTTTGTCATCCCTACAGGAACAAGTATAAAAATGTGCAAGGGTTGGTCAAAATGTGACCAAAACACTACACAAAGCAGCTGCTATTACTACATAACAAACAGAAAACATATAACTAATAAAACAGGGTGAAGTGTTCAAGATATCAACTGATATTAAACTCACCCCAACTTTCCTAAGCAAGTCACCTACAATATTCATTGCAGATATCCTTGCTGGTGGGGTAAGTGGAATGTTTTGGCCCCCTCCAGACTGTTGCACTGTAACAAAAATTCCAAATAAATTCACCATGCTATTTCCGCAATTTAATAGTAGTATTCACAATCACCGTATTATATAACTTACGTAAAAGACTAATTACCAAATGGTATTATTTAAAAATCCACCCTACGTGTTCCGGCTATACATCAGACACCTTAGCAGATATTATTACAGATAATTCATCAATAAGCCATTCTCATGTTTTATAAAACCTCTCTCTCACCCAAACATTTTTTTAACTATTACAAACACTGTCTCTATAAAGTGTGAAGGCAAATTAAAACCATCACATACATAATTCTTCATAATACTAGTCACATAACCTGTAATAGTTTTAGAACTGTTTATGTAACATTCAATAACCACATCAAATAGTGTGAGACCCTCAAGAAGGCTGACATGTAAGGTGTACATTGAAATAAATAGTTGTATTTGATGGCAAGAACATGGTATACACCATCAGCCCCCATAAAATGGAAACAATATTAGAAGAATAATAATAATGTGGTAAATTAAGATTTCTGTCATTCACACAAGCTGTCCCACATTTCAACACATTATGTCCACAAACGTAAGTAGTTAGGCTAATTAAGAAATTAAAGAACTACTGCCACAGTAAACTGAATTATCAGTTCATTGATCACGATGGCGATTTACTAAACAAACTTTATTTTCTCCCACCCAGCCAGCATCTCTTCCTCTGTTTCAATTAACTGGAAGTCAACTAACTTTTCTTGCAAAGTGTACTATGAATAAAGCTTGATTAAGATTCTCATATTAAGCATACATAACCATGATGGTGATCTTGTGGGTTGTTGCTGGCACACAGCCATAACGCTACACTACACTACAACCAAGAAGACCATTTTCTATATTCATGTTGCTGTAAAAATATCAAATTCTACGTCATGTGAAATTTACTGTTGTAAAGTTATTGACACAACAGTAACAAATAGTTTTTTAAACATTAAATTAAAGCAGTAATTTATGATAACTATTTACCACCATTTACACTCATAACTTGCCATTAGGTAACTGGACAACTTGAAAGATGCATTAAATTACATGTGTAGAAATAATGCTCCTTAACTATTGCTCAAAATGCAAATTTATTTTTTTTGGTCAAGATGGCAATGAAATTCTGATTCACTACAATGCTCCTGAAATAGGATGATAAATATCACTGGCAGACATGTTACAGCATGCAACAGAAGTATGGTATCTAAAGAAGCCATTCCAAAAATTTCATACAAAATAAGATGGAACAGTATAACGACGATGCGAAATATTCATCCGCTATTTCACAATGATGGAAGAACAGAAAATGAAGGTTACGCAAGCAAACAAGGTCATCAATCTTTACGAGAACAATGCACCCAGGCAGGTACATGAACAGCATGTCTTAAAAGGTCTTTTATGCCGTGTGGTGACACAGTGAATTCAAATTTTATAACCAAATGCCTCAATTTAATCAGACCATGAGAACCTGAAAATGGTTGATATTAAGGAGAAACAGGGAATAGCAGGCAGAAAGCACATTTACTACATAGAAACCACATGACTTTTGCATGTAAGAATTTATTTTTCATCAGCATCACTGGTGAGAAATTAATAAAATAATTTCAAGCAATGAGCAATACAAAATAACTTAAAACAGATTCATGTAAAGATACAAATGTGCATCACTGATCTAGAGTTTACTGAATACATAATATTACCTATCATCCAACTGAAAACTGCTTGCAAAACCTTGTACACACGTCAACAAAATACAAAGCACATTTGCTTCCAAGTTTAATACTTCATGCATGTCATTACTACCAGGAAACCTCAGGTACAAAGAGAAATATCTTAAAAACAATGATGTAAAACTTGACTTATTTGTATACTTCATTAGAAGAATCATATTTCTATAATATGTACAAGCAAAGTCACCAGCCAACTGGTATCTACAGTAAAACTTTAAATAACAAGAATCTGCAGAATCTAGCATCCTTTTATCTTCTTAACAAATACATCATAATAACCAGTGATATTAATAATTATTTCAAAACTCTGGAATGAAAACATCCAGGTAAGGTTAGTCAGATCAGTTGTTTTCTGTCATCCTACATTTTAGAATCCATCTGCGCAGCAATAATACAACGAAAACCTAAACAAACACACTTACGCTGTTACTTGGAACTCTGGCTCTCGCGTGACATCAGAAAACATGCATCACCCTACTGCCAGCGCATGCATGCCATGCTTAACTTTTTAAATGACCCACATAACATTCACACCTTACAGTATTACAACCAGTCTTCAACGTCAATTAACATTCAGGGTAGTCTGTACATGAAAATTAAAATTACAAAAGATTCTGATGGATTCATCTGGTACCACTGTCAAAGAAGTTAAAAAAACATTAGGAAGAAATCACAGATATGTGTAAGTTTTATATAATAACTACAGTTTTTACACCAGTCTTGGTTTTATAAATCATGAAATAGAAACACGCAAACAGAATTGCAATACTGGACACTCTCTGAACCATATGAACCACATTACTCCAAATAACAACCATAATTCTAACTCAGAATTATGGAACGATTCTGTAGAAAGTAAGAAGATACAATGTTCACAAGTTTCATGATTCTGAAATAATTAATATTGTTTAAAAATGTCATTACTTTCCAGCCAACTCACCATGACATGACACTGTCCACCATGTGAGTTAATTTTCATGGATTTTCCTTGAAAAGATGATAGTCACTCAGTTAGTCAAGAAACAATTTTACTTTTAAGGATGCCAAAGGTCAAAATGGCATGGTATTTTTAGCATAGGCTGCCACAAAGGGTCAATGGACAATCTGCTTCTTTCCGCAAAGATGTTTCCACTTCACGTGGCTCGTCTTACAACCTAATCTCTCCATTCTAAAGCTTCACAGCTTCCCAAAAGCAGGTTCAGTAAAGAATATCTAACATAATCATATGATAGTAAGCTAATTACAATCATATCTTTTAATGCATCACAAAATTTTGGTACTGTTTATGGTAAAATACCACACTTTGATCCACCGCAGCTCCTCTGTACCATTCTACAAGTCTTGAATATCATTTTGACATTCAAAGTGATTTTATAATTTATGTATAATTAAGTTTACAGTGGCATCTCATACACACTATAAGCAGACCAATATATACAATGCGCAGATAACAGTTCTAACACTATTCAGAAGTACTTAACATTATGTAGGGGGACTTTTCATGCAGCTCAGGGAAAGGCCAACAGACTTGGTTCTACGATACGCTACGTTCAGCTTACTTTTGAGTGGTGAGCCCGGTACATTTGTCTGAGTTTCCATTTCCACCTTGAGCTTGTTTGAGTCAATAGGGCTCCTAACTCTCTCCAAACACTTATCATTGTCTGGTACCTCGCAGCTCCGGATTTTCATCTCCTGCCTCAGATCTGTTGGTGGAAAAAGAGAGTATGATACATCTCATTCCCATGTATTTATAACATTTTCAGTGCGGTTATAAATAACTTTCATGCTCTGTAAATATTATATTACCACTAGTGTATAAAGCACACTGAAATTCAGTAAAGAATGATTTCTTTTGTATCCTGTTCACTTATTTGTTATTCAGACAAGTTGATTTTTGACTCACAAATACAAAGTGCTCACCTCTTGCTTCATCTTTCAGTCTCTGCACCATTCCCCTGGCTTCATCCTGTTCAGATTCAAGCAGAGCATTTCGCTCTATTGCAGAATTCAACTTGGACTCAAACTCTGTTACAGACGTCATCATAGCTCTAAAAATAGAGTACAGTTTTTGTGTGTGTGTGTGTTTAGAACACATGACAGACAAACTTTGAATTAAGAACTTTGTAATTTATAAACCTTACTTAGTTTTATAGTTAAAATAGTAAAATAAAGGAGGTTATAATGAGCTGACTGGAAACAGTTAGGAAGGGGCAAAACATATTCATGCTGGATTTTAGCGGGGCAACATCTGCAACTCTGAAGACAAATGAGATAACATTAAAATGGAGTGTAGGTCAACTGGATTATAATGGCTGTACACTATGTCCAACAATCAGATATCCTGAGTATTTTTTTGTAGTTTTCTACAATCCATACAGGCAAACACTAGACACTAGCTTCAAACACGCCATGACCACTACCACTTTATTCTCAGTTCATCATTCAGAACATTCTCCCAATGAACACTATATAACACACGCAACTGATAAAGTGTCATTACACAAACTACAAAATAAGAATGACAATTCAAGAGTTCAGAGAAATGCAGTACCTATGAGATCGTTCCAAGTCGTCATTCTTTTGTTCTAACTCTCGAATGTACTTCAGCAAAGTTTCTTCGTGACTTCGATATTCAGAGATCATCGTCTGCAGTTCACATATTTGCGTGCCATTTTGTCGTTTTGTCTGTTCATAACTATCCTGTTAATTAGTCAAACAAAATGTATGAAAATCTGAATATAGATGTTATAAAACAATGCAATATTGTTAAGGGATGCAGGAACAACAGTGATTAAAAAACTAATCAATACAATAGGTTTAGTTTGAACCCCGCTAGAATTTGTTGAAGTTCATAAACTGTCATTTAGTAATAAGTGGTCTTTCCCCAAGTTCCTTCAACCATCTATCATAACTTAATATTTATGTACATGATCTAAAAAATCACTATTCCACTACCAAATTTTTAAAACTTTCAATAATAAATTCAGAGAAGTCTTGTGAAGTAGAATTCTGCAGTCCCAGGTGTAATGTAAACATTAGAAATAAGCCTAGGTGGAGTTTACGATAAGAAATTAGACAGTGTAAAATCTATAACTAATTAACAGGCTACATAAGTACTTCTGACAGTGTCAAAATCCTGTAAAAACATTACAATAATCTGGTCACAATGACATAATCTACCTTCAGTGTGTCACTGTCTAACTGCAGTCTGTTGTTGCGTGTCCGCAGTTCCCGTATTGTTTTATCAGCCTGTTCCAACTGCGTCTCCAACTCCTTCTCCAACTGCTGTGAGTTTTCCTGGAATTCTTCAAGTTCTCTCTCTACTTGTCTTGTATCCTCTCTAGCCTCTTCAAGCCTAAAGGGCAATGAAAATACCTGTGTACTTTTCTTTATGAAGAAAAAGGCAATAAACATCATTATTATTATATATTCCACTAATATATTTCCTGTCAATATATCTTCAAAGATGAAGCATGACCCAACTTCATATTTCTTATACCCAGCCTCTACGCTATAGCAATATCATGTTGAATTATACAATGAAACAGATATAAATCAGAATCTGACAGAATATACAACTAATTACTTTCTATGTTTATGCTTAATATTAATAATTAATATAATCTTTTCCCATGTACATAGTGTTAACACTCAGTCACATTAGAAGCTTCTTATTCAAACAATTGACAGTCTTTAAGAAAACCAAATGATGCAAACCCTTGATGTAACTGGGCTGCCAATTCCTTCCAATACTGGATCTCTTCATCTTTGCTGCTGAAGGATGGAATGTCTTGATCCATTACAAGGATATCCGTATTCATTGATACACCAGCAAAATCTTATACACTGCTGTTAAAACACAGCTACCGCTTGCAAAATATCACCAAATTCACTAAATAATCTCATTAATGCTTTATCATCCTTCTGCTAAATGTGGACATCTGAAAGTATACATAAAATGAGATGAAATATGCACATGGTACCATACAGATGGTATGGCATCAGGTTACACATTAAAGAGCATTTTTAAAAAATCAGTATGTTGTGCACTTTCAAGTGTGTATCAGTCATCTGCATTTGAAAATGATGTTTGTCACACAAAGGATTTTTTGCTGTCTGTATTATAATCATTTTTCTGCATTCTGGTGACAACACATGAACACTTTTATACCCAGACCATGACCTTAGAAGTCTAAAGGACTTCATGATAAATATTAACAACTAAATAACTCTAGTTTGCTCATGCCCTTAAATACCTTATATATCACACGTATACATGGTGGGGAATCAATACACTGTTCCGCATGTCAAAATAAATCAACCATTTCCTAATTTCTGTGCTGAAACACAACCAATGCAGAAAGCTATCCTATGACTGTGGGATAAACTAAAAGTCATCCAAATCTAAATTGAATACAGATTTATTGAAGAGGGCAGACTACTTCCACACAAATGTCTTTCATGGATATCACAATAACTTATTCGGATGTTAGTAATGGGTTCCAAATCCATCCATCTGTATTAATATGAAGCAAACGTTTCCTCCCTATCCAGAATTTGTGCTGGCTAATATTAAACCAGATACAACCATGGTCGAGGGTATATCATCCAGTTGATTTCGTGATTATAATTAAAATTCCGACGAGAACTGTCAATCCTAACTTACCTATCACATAGGTACGTACACACAAAAGATTGTAACGTGTGCTCTAACTTACAAGCTATAGATTCCGATATGCCAACACCCAGCCACTCCTCTTACGTTACAAAGTAACTATTAACGCACGAAACATTCAAATACACATTGCATGAAAAAATGACATTCCCGGATGTAACATGAGTCACCACCTAAACGAAGTTTCCACTGCAACGATGAAAACGTCTATATACTGTACGTGGTTAAGGAAAATTTTATTTAAATGTTAAACTGTCATATTATTGGTTAAAAACAATTACCATATACCAATACATCACTAAACAACTGTTTCCCACAGCAAAGTATACCGAGAAATATTCGCAATACACTTAGCAACACCCACCTCAAAATGGCGATGACAAAAGTCAAAGAATATATAGCAACTAGCACGGATCGTACAGTAATACGACCTCGTCCTGTAGTGGGATATGTGGCGAAGAGAAAATAATACATGCCTCAGGCGATACCAGTCTCAAAATATCGAAGATATCTTTCATACATCTTTATTAGAATCCATGGATCCACAAGTTACATTACAATGGTTCATGTACTGATGTTACAAATACATCCACCCATCGCATGCTGTAGATAAATTGTGTAATTGCATTGTTTAAATATATCGAAAATTATAGTTACCGTCATATATCAGTTCCATGATAAAATCTACAACTTAAAATTTGATATAAAAATATCCTCTTTCAGAATTTCCAGAATGCAAAGTTTAAACTCCAGACAAAAGTTAAAGTACTCCCATTGCACGCCATGTAGGTGATTGGGTTATGAACTGGTATAGTGTCTACCAATTCCTTAAATCAGTACTAGATAGGGCTTGGTTGCCAGTCAAACCTCGGCTGCGCATTATCCAGAGAATGGACCCTGGTACTCATAGGACAGGCTGGTTTATCTTGTACTTGGGGATGAGGTTAATTCTTCACAGCTGATGTCTACATGTAAATACATGAAATTTGGTGGAAATTCTGCCAGATAAATACTTCTCACACTAATGTCACCAAAATGACAGGCATTCCTACAGTATTACAGCCATTTCTTTCCAAAAGACAAAGCACCAAAAACCCTTTTACCAATAAGTGGGGAATAAAATTAAAATTTGTACCAATATCACATTGTGTACAGCAATGTGCAATACATGGAAATGGTTGGAAACCAGATGATTAGAAAAAACTCAAGTCAACAAGCAATGAAAATTTTATTTCATGTCTTAATTCACAGCAAAACATAAATGAAATCACTGTGTGGTTTTCTCTTCCTTGATACGATCTTTCTTAAGCTGTCCCATAAACGCAGCCTTATCTGCCGCAGTCTGGAAACGACCATGGCCAAACTTGGAAGACGTATCAATGAATTTCAGTTTTATATTTTCAAGCGCCTTCCTCTTCGTGTGAACAAGCAGAGACTGCAGAGGGAAAAGATTAATTAAAACAAATATGGCAACTTAAAAAAAGAACAAGCTACAGCATCAAAAGCCACCTCAGTTCTATCATTGAACAACACTGGTATCTTCAGAATCCTCTTGGCTCTAATAAAAATCATCACTAGTGGCATTTGCTGAACTGTACAGAATAACAATACCGAGACACTTCATACCTTGCGCATTGTGATAACCCTCTTCTTGGGGCCCATAACACATCCCTTCAACATTACATAATCATTGTTGACTTCACCATAATGAGGGAATCCTCCCATTGGCGTGATTGTCTTCTCTGTCAGATCGTATTCTGTAGATGCATTGTTTTTCACAACCTAAAAACAGAATAAACCAATACTAGAGTTCATACTACGTCCAATTTCTGCGTTAAGAACAAAATCTTGGTTCAATAAAAATTCTGCTCAACCTGTAACAAGCGCTACTCAGCGAAAATGATCTATCTATAACAGTGCACAGCTGAACTGCGCTCTTTCCATACTACGAAAAGAACGCAGTTCAACTCCAATACACATTTAGAGCCACACTCTCTAAGCTTCGACAACAAACTTCAAACTGCTTCAGACCAGGATTTAATATCACAAACATTCAATACCTTTTTGACCATCTCATCATTAGCAGTAACCATTCCACCAGATGCACGAAAGCTTACTTCTAGTGCAAAATGAACAGGATTCTAGTTCAGTTATAATTCAGAATCAATCAGTGTGATGGCTATGTTGTGTTGCAACTTATTTCATGATGATGTGCCCAAAAAGTAGCCCACTTAATGGAGCCAACAAGGACCCCCGAAACATCGGTAAACTTCTACCATACTACGCGGCGCCACCCACAAGACAACCATCTTCAATATGATCACTGCTGCGACATAGTTCATGTTATTGGGAACGTAGGAAAGAAAAAATCCCACACACCTTGCCATCCTTTGTATGGATGCCTTGCCCAATACGATATATCTTCTTGTTCATCTCTGTTCGGTGGTGGTAACCCTTCTGACCAGCTCTGGCAACAGTGAACGACACTCTGCTTGGATGCCAAGCTCCAATACAGGCAACTTTTCGCAGACCTTTGTGAGTCTTCCTCGGCAATTTCTTGGTATGCCAACGAGACGTCACACCTGGAAATGGTTTCAAAATAAAAAACCTAGACTCAAATTTTGAAATTGGGGGAAAAAAAAAACTACACATGAATTGAATAATTTTAATGTAGTTTTTTTTACAGTACTTCTATAAGGCAAGTCACTTGCACAAAATGAAATCAAGCATCAAACCCATACTAAATAATGGATAAGTAGGGGATATCAGTAGGAAGGCAACATGACTATTCCACATTATCATTATCAGAACTACAGTCATGGTTTTTCATCATATATCCTCACTAGATAACACTACATGCAAATTTTATATCATCTTAAACCTCCAGCACACACCTTTGTAACCTTTTCCTTTTGTGACCCCAATAACATCAATCATCTCATCAGGACCAAATACTTGGGATACAGGTACTGGCTTCTCTAGATGCTCACGAGCCCACTGAACTTTCTGCTCGATAGTTCCACCATTAAGCTGAATCTCCATGATGTGGGCCTTTTTCTGACGTTTCTTCAACAGCTTCATCTGATAAAAGCATACCAACATTAGAATTTTAAAGAACAAGTGTTCTCCAGTTTCATAAACATGAAAACACATTTCTCAATTCAAACTCTTATTGTAACAGAAGTTCGTGTAACAAGCATGGTTTTTCTTCCTGGTCCCAGCCCAATGGACTACAGAAAGGTCATGGAATATGCCTTTCCTCCACTCACCTACGAGGTAGGGAGCAGAGTTGCTCTCTGATACTGCGACTAGGACTATACTGCATAATAGGCAGCTCCCGGGTCGCTATGGACTTTCAGCTCACTGGCGAACCAGGAACATTAAGTCCACGTATCAGTTCTGATCATTTTTCAGATATTTTAACTTTGAACGAGGATAGTTAAAACCAAAACACAATTCACGCGAGGAAAACCAAACAAATAAGGCTGCAAGGACAAATGTGGGGGAAGCATGCACCTCGTCACAAATAAGAGGATTTAACCCTGTATAACGTAATGTTTAAACAAACACAATTCAATACCTAGTAACAGATTACCACCACTCGACTTCCATGTGGGCCTGAATTATCAAGGCCAAAATTTCAATACTTGGTGTTAGCACATAAACGCAAAGTAAAGAAATTCAATCGCAATGTTAAAATCAACAAGTAGCAGCTCTACCCCCTCCACTAAGCACCTCCATAGCGCCTAGCTGAAAATTTACATATACATAAACCACAGTAGTCTGAAAACATACATGTGATCTAACCAACTACCCAAAATAACTATAAAATTCTGTACCTGTGTGTGTGCAATAACTCTGATGACCTTGCAATAGTGAACTAGCTTCTTGAAGTCCTTCTCAATCGATTTACGACCCAACTCATCCTGCCACTTTTTTGATGTCTTTGTAAAAGCCTTCTTCTTAGACTTGTACCTGTGAATGTCAATATAATGTGCAGACACAGAGGATCTGGGAAGTGGATGTAGGAAGGAAAGAGGGCCGTCTCTTCTGCGAGTGGAGACATGAACCCTCACATCCAGCCACAACCAACACTAGTTTTTGGCATGGATTAATGACTCTCATCTGCAGAGTGGAGAGTTGTTTGTGAAATCAGTACACACAATTACAACAATTCACAAATACAATTCATGATACCACTGCCTCAGTCCGCCCTAGAAATTTCTTCATAAAGATCAGAAAACTAGTCATCATCGGCAGTTATTACCAAAGACATAAAATTCTGCACCCCATTGTGCACATTACATTACTAATGTCCCCATTCATAAGCTCAAACAGATTATTGCAATTCTTAACACATTAGCTTTGAATTACGTTAGATATGACCTCAAAGGCAAACAATTTACCAGTTCTTGTAGAACCTGCGTCTGCAGTCCTCTGACAAATGCTCTGCCCACACCGTCTTCAAGGCACGCAGTCCATGAGGGGTTTCAATGTACCCTACAACTCCAACCACTACCATTGGCGGTGTCTCCAGTATCGTCACAGCCTCCACAATCTCCTTTTTGTTTACCTCTACAATGCAAATTTATCCTTCGTAAACATCAGTTCTCCAAGTTAACCAATTCCTCATTTCCCCAAGTAGAATTCGCTAAAGAAAAGCCATGCATATTCATCACCCTCAAATCCTACATAGAATTCTCGATCATCTAATTTTTTGAGAACTCCCCCCCATCCCCAAGCAAAACATTTCTCTGCACAATGAAATCTGGAAGTAACAAAGCACACAATTTCAAACCACTGTTCTACAGGTTTACTAAACTACCATGAGAACCTCAAATAATACATCTATACTTACTCGACCCAGGTCTATCTGCTTCACGAACCACATGGGTCATT